CACACACAAAGACACACACACATTCACCCAATGTGCACCATAGCTCTGACCTTGTGAGGTGTGTATCTTCTTGCTTATCTCTCTATTTCCTTTGGTGGCCCATGAACTTTGTGACAGCAAACTAATGGAGTTTGTTAATAAGTTTGACCTGGTTCTTTTTTAAGGTGGATTTAATCAATTCAGTTTCTAAGTTTATAGTTGTTGAGTAAAGGACTTCCAAAGTAACACAGAGTGTAATAAGAATATAACATACAATATAATAACTGATATAACATGCATCTCAGCTTAGCTATTGGCACTTTCAGCTGGACATTCAGCTTGAAAAACAAGCCAATGGCATGCTAATTGGCACGTTGATAGTTTTTAACTCACAAAATCCTTGTTTAAAACGAACAAAAAACAGAATCTAGGAAAGTAGACTGAACATGAACACAAAATAATTTTTTTTTTATAGTCTTCAGAACTTGCTTCTTTATTTCTATTTTTTTCATCTGTTGCTCCGCTCATGATCTTCATGCTCTCGCTATATTTTTCCTCTCTCTCCATTTACACTGATTGGCTGTTACTGCTGCTCTTGTTAAGCAGGCAAAGTAAAATGCTATCAGACTGTCCACACTGGAAACACACAGAGTCGCTGATCATTTTGAAAAGCTAATTTTACAGCTGTTTGTAAAAGTTTCTGTGTGGTACCTGTGTTGTAACTATCGTCATATAATGATGGAGGACGCGACAGCTCTCTAAAAGTGAAGCCAAAATATCATGAAGGCCCTCTGGTGGCTAAATGCAGTATGCGTCATAAATCCCAATCAGAGGGGACATGGGCCATACTAAAAAATCAAATCAAATATATTTTTTTCCCATTATGGTTTTTGGGTTTCTGATCAGATTGGTTTTAATTAGTTATCTGAAGCTATAAAAAGGGGGTTTTACATAGATATACATAAAATCTATGGGGTTTTACGCCATGACTGAGGTAGCTGGCGGTATGGGTGGAACCTTGATACCACGACACCAACCCCGATCACTACTGCACAAACCTTGGCTCCGAATAGTGAAAGATGGCAGCGGGCGTATCTGGAATATTTTGGCTTAATTTTATATGGTTATATTAACCTAGGTTACATTAGCATGCTGACGTTAGCATTTATCTCATAGCACAGCTGTGCCTAAGTAGGCTACAGCCTCACATAGCTGCTAGCATGGCTATATCTTTGTATTATCTTTTGTTTTCATTGTATATCTTTCTTTAATGTGTCTGTATTTGTGTCCCTCTTGTTAGGCTTTTGGGTGGGTCTCCTTATTTGTGTTTTCTTTGAGACGGGTTTCTTCCTCATTGTAATCTTCAAACTCAACTGGAAGAAAGTCACACACAAGGTAGGTTTCATTCTTCAAATCATACATGGTATTTAAACCTTTCCCACAAGTATTGAGGGCAGTAATGTAATATTATTTTGTTGTAATGGAACTCCATCAGGAGGCATTTCCCCCATTCCAGTTGAATTTTGGCAGCATTTTACATTTTTATTTTGTTTCAGTTTTTCCAGCAACATTCATATTATTCACAAAGTCTATTTATGTGTTGTTATGGGTCTTTAGTGTCAAAGAAAAGTGGAGGTTATAGTATATTTGCCTTTGGATTGTGAGTAAATTTGTGGGTGATTGAAATGTCATCCAGGTTTTTTACCAGTTTTTTAATTTATTTCTATGTGTCTCATGAACCACAATCGAATATGTTTTCAGGCTCAACTGCGAGCTGGAAAGAAAGTGGTGATGATACCAAACCGTCCTATTAGTACAGTGCTGACTGAAGCGATGGTTCCTGACATCTCTGACTGCCCTAATACAGTAAGTGCACACTGTATGTGCAATAGTTACTGTATAGTTAAGCAAGATGTCCTCACTTCTTTGTGTGTGTTAGTTTTATCCTTATTTTTACTACATGTTTGCACCCTAAAGGCCCAGTTGGACGGTGAAGACGCCTCTAAAGCAGATGGCTACAGTCCAGTCAACACCCAGGATCAGGAGCTGAAAGCGGGTCATGAGGCCGAGGGCAACAACACAAACACAGGAGGGACTGAGGGAGATGCTGAGCAGAGCAAAAATGCTTCAAACACCAAACCTCAATTGCTGCTTTCTGTCACTCAGCTCATCTTGCGTCGGGGACTCATCTTCTTGATTTTTGTTCTCATTTTGGTCATAGGTGTCGCTTTCCACATTGCTTTCCCTTCACCGGAGCCTTCTGCCCAGCGCTGGGCCAACTTAACCCTGCACTGGGCCAATGACTCCACTCCTACACCACTGGTTCCACTCGACCTGACCCTACACCTCTGAGCTATCTCTGACCTCTGAATGTAGACATCCTGGGGCTGAACGCAGTTCTCACAGTTTAGATCTTCTAGAGAGAAAAGTGTTGAATTCCTGTCTTAAGTTTTGCACTCTAATAATAGACTTTGTAAAACTACAGTCTGAAATGGGCTACCAGCTTTGTCTTGTTTGGGAAAAATATGTTTCAGTGCTGCACTGCTGAGCAAAGCCACAGAAAGCTGGAAGCAATATCAAATGAGACTGGCAGGATGAACAAAGGTCTTGTTTCAAAGATCATGTTTTAACCTCCTCAGCCTGAGATCCTCAACTGGAACTAGAAGACACATTACAAATCCCTCACAAGAGACCACGTGGGCATTAAGGAACAGATGTTTTTCCACTGATAGCTTTTGATTTTTCCACCTTCTCTTGTCTTGATTTTCACATTGCACTATGACATTTATTTTCTTTATTACTGACCCCAAATGATTTTTCTTGTGTTTTAACTGTGTAAGATTCATTGTAAATATCTGATGTAAAATATACATGTATACATGTAAATATGTAATACACGTATAACTATATGAGCAGTATATAGTATTACTGTATTGTCTTCCTGTATCACTGTAACTCTGCCCTATGGTATTCTTCAGGACAGAGGTGATTGATAAATAATTAGTTATTATTTTTTATTGTATAAATCTGACCAATATTATAATGTTCTGCCGTATGACAGCACTCTAATCAATAAAAATGACGTTTAAAGTGTATAACAATAAAACTAATCACAGGGAAGCTCATGCATGTTCAGCTCCAAATGCCAAAAATATATTACCATAGTCTGTAGTCTGAAGGAAACGAATCCAAACTATGTCCCCAAAGAGTCAAAAACCATTTCCTGAGGTCATCTAACAGCTGCCATAAAGACCTGATCCTGCTTTAATCATATCAAAGACTTCCACTTTACCAGACACACATTGTCAAAAATGACACTACACAAACAGAGGCACCAAACCCAGGTTTAAATTTCATCATGCTCATTTAAAGTGTAACTAAATATGGCCGTGTGGCTATGGAGTCTTTGATGTGGGAGGTAACACCGACTAGAGTCCCTTAGAGCTTTGACAGTCACTTGAACACATACAAGGTCTGTTGCAGAACTTTCTGTGCGGTATATGTGTTACATTAGCTAAGCTAGCATCTCAAAGAGACTAACACATCGGTGTCTGTGGGGGACAATCAGGCTACTGAAACTGGTCTTGTTTAATAGCTAATTTATTATAAAACATTGATTTAGCCACTGTTGTTTATGGACATACATAGCTTCCGCCCTTCAATATGGCACTTGATGTTAAAACGTCAATGCCAGACCTCAGTAAATAATGTCATAACTGATGTCATACTCTGTACTTTAGTGATTGGTAAAAGGCAATCAGTGGAAATATTGATTTTTTTTGTCATTCAGGAGAAGAGGCAATCACTGCTTTCTGTCAAATAACATATACTATCCACAGTGATATATAATATATCATATTTGACCCAAAATTGCCACAAGACGCTTTTTTGCAAAAGATCAGTGCTGTATAATTAAATTTGGGCGTGTGAAGAAGCCATTTCTTGACTGCGTTTCACTATAATAATATGTAATATTATTAACTACATACATAATTTAACTGAATTCCAGGTGTGTTATTATATTGCATGGTGACAAAAACAAGAAGTTAATATGAGATTGCTTAAGATACTGTATCACAAGTTCTAGTCTACCAATACTGACAGCAAATCTTTACACAGTCACTTGTTAATGATGCCACAGCATGTTACTGATTGCAGACTCTGGAGGTGAGCGGGCCAAGATTATAGTCTCTGTGAGGAGCCTGTTGCAATGTCTCTGCTGATGAGCAAGACTGAAGCTCAGACAACAACGTAACCATGTATGAATCAAGCCTGATTTACATGTTGAATAACGATAAATTAATATGCAAGTTTTTATGTGACTGTTGCAAACATCAATCTGTTGCAAGCCAGTGCTGATCAGTTTGGAGAGTGCAGTGGCTTGTGAGAGCAATGGCCAGAGTGGCAAGAAAAAAATCCCTTCAGGGGAGCCTGACTGTGGCATAAATTCAGACAGGACTAGACTAAATATTTCGAGTATTTACCAAAAATGTTATTTGAGGCTAATCGAAATACAGTGTACCTGCTGTCCATTACCTACTTAACACCAACATTGATATGGTCTTATACAAAGCAGCCCATTATTATTTTTATATTAGTATGAAAGTGAACAAATGTAGTTCAACATTTTGGGAAATACGGTTATTCGCTCTCTGACGTACAGTTAGATGAGAAGCAGTCTCAGGTCTGTATTGTAAATATGAAGGTGTGGATGAGGTTTTCTGCCAGAAAGGCTTTCTAACATATGGTTAACGCTGAGAATGGGTGTATTTTAAACCACTGTATCTTCCCAACCAAGTAGTTTTGTTGCCTAACCCTAACCAAACTGCGACTGCTAACTAAAGATAATAAATAATGTCTACCAGTAGGGATTAATCAAATGAAACATAACTTGTTAATTTGGGAGCTCCTGAAGTGCCAGAAAATGTTTCCCCCCGGTTTCTGTCTTTGTGCTAAACTATACTAACTGGCTAGACATGAGTGGTATCAATCTTCTCATTTAACTCTTCCAGAAGGCAAGCATTTCTCGAAATGTTGAGACATCTTTTTCATAGATCTGTAGAGGAACAACATAGATAGGCTACAGAGTACGTATTTCAGAAAAAATCCTACATGGTTAATTGTTTGCTGTTAACTAGAGTGAATAATTTATGAACAGGATATAACCGTGTAGCCTGAGCTAGTTATCTGCTCCTGCACAGTGTGAACAGGTGGTTGATTTGCTCAGTTTGACATGTCTTCATCCAGCCAGCATGTTGCAGTGTGAGTGTACAGACCTTTCATTATCGTCAAATTTGGCAACGCAGATCAAAGGACAGAAAAATAAACCACAGAAAAAGAACCTCTTTTCTGTCTTTGATGATGAAAGCATGCATCCACAGATGCGCTGTAGCCTAAATATAGCCTTTAATCATGCTATTTCTAATTGTAGCATCCATTCAGACTATATAATTCATAATGAGAACACATATTTCGTCAGTATTTTGATTGGAGCCCATCTTACTATATAAATGAGACATGCCTGTACAGTATTTTTTCAGTTATCATTTTCATTGGCTGCCTCAATTAAGTTATATTTCTTATTGGATTTTTCCAAAACATGACTAATGTAGCAACTCCAAAAGTGACTGGGATTGATCTATTAAATAGATGAAAGCAACAAAGAGCTAGGAGAATGACACTAAATGCTTTTATAACAGAACTCCTCTCTGAAGATAATTGTGACGTTGAAGACAATCCCTTAAGTGTGCAGTAATGACAGGAAATTTACCGAGGCGGTCTACAAGAAGGGCCAAAGCCGACTCTTTTTC